CATACTTATACACTAAATCGCCATTCAATCGTCATTCAATACAAATTATCGTTACTACTCTACTCTTCTCTACTTGTGTCTTACTATACGTCAATACTATATAAACTCTATTATTCTATCATCGCATAATTCCATATCAATCATACACATCATACGAATATTGCAGAGCGTAAGTATCGTTGTATTGGTATATTAAATATACAATGACATTATTAAATAGACTATTGTACGTACTGTATATTTGTTATTGTGTATGATTAGAATAATACTTGTACGATAATTATAATAAGTTGTAGTATAGCATGTTTAATGTAGGAGGATTAATATTATTTGTGTGTATTAATTATGATTATTTTATGTTATTGTATTAATATACATATATGGTTTACTATTGGATTTACTATGGGATCGACAATGCGATTTACTATGGAATGGATATGTACATATATGCAATGATCGAATGGAATGATTATCGTATGGTTATTATACGGATATACGTATACTAAAACTACCAATACACTGCAATGCTTATACACTAAATCGCTTATACACTAAATCGCCATTCAATCGTCATTCAATACAAATTACCTTTACTACTCTACTCTTCTCTACTTGTGTCTTACTATACGTCAATACTATATAAACTCTATTATTCTATCATCGCATAATTCCATATCTATCATACACATCATACGAATATTGCAGGGTGTAAGTATTGTTGTATTGGTATATTAAATATACAATGACATTATTAAATAGACTATTGTACTTACTGTATATTTGTTATTGTGTATGATTAGAATAATACTTGTACGATAATTATAATAAGTTGTAGTATAGCATGTTTAATGTAGGAGGATTAATATTATTTTTGTGTATTAATTATGATTATTTTATGTTATTGTATTAATATACATATATGGTTTACTATTGGATTTACTATGGGATCGACAATGCGATTTACTATGGAATGGATATGTACATATATGCAATGATCGAATGGAATGATTATCGTATGGTTATTATACGGATATACGTATACTAAAACTACCAATACACTGCAATGCTTATACACTGCAATGCTTATACACTAAATCGCCATTCAATCGTCATTCAATACAAATTACCTTTACTACTCTACTCTTCTCTACTTGTGTCTTACTATACGTCAATACTATATAAACTCTATTATTCTATCATCGCATAATTCCATATCAATCATACACATCATACGAATATTACAGAGCGTAAGTATCGTTGTATTGGTATATTAAATATACAATGACATTATTAAATAGACTATTGTACGTACTGTATATTTGTTATTGTGTATGATTAGAATAATACTTGTACGATAATTATAATAAGTTGTAGTATAGCATGTTTAATGTAGGAGGATTAATATTATTTTAGTGTATTAATTATGATTATTTTATGTTATTGTATTAATATACATATATGGTTTACTATTGGATTTACTATGGGATCGACAATGCGATTTACTATGGAATGGATATGTACATATATGCAATGATCGAATGGAATGATTATCGTATGGTTATTATACGGATATACGTATACTAAAACTACCAATACACTGCAATGCTTATACACTAAATCGCCATTCAATCGTCATTCAATACAAATTACCTTTACTACTCTACTCTTCTCTACTTGTGTCTTACTATACGTCAATACTATATAAACTCTATTATTCTATCATCGCATAATTCTATATCAATCATACACATCATACGAATATTGTAGGGCGTAAGTATCGTTGTATTGGTATATTAAATATACAATGACATTATTAAATAGATTATTGTACGTACTTTAGTTTTTCTTTACTGTATATCATCACATTTAAATTAGTTAAATATTAATTCTTTTGGCATGGAATATAAAAGATTTGGCGATGGAAATAGTAAAGAGATATATAATATTGTGTGAAAACTAGTTTAGATTTTATCATGTAGCAAAAAACATATACAGTATTCAATCATAATATATTCTATCTTCTGTATTTATAGCATTATTTTAGGATAATTTTGTTTGACTTATAGAGAAATTAGTTTAATTAATGTAGTCATGTCAGGTTAACTTTAAATATACTATAATAAAGTGTAATAAGTTTATGAATAAATGATACAGCGAAAATATTTGACAAAACAGTATTTATCAGCTCCTGTATGATAATTTATAATAATTTGTTAAAGATTGCACAATATGCAAGATATAGTTCAAATTAAAATCAGTACATACTGTATAATTTTTTAATTTGAAAACAAAATTTGTTAATTTCATCCTCCATATTAACTCTCGTTTCGTAACATAGTGAGACTGGATTATTTTCGCGATTTCATTTGCGCATTACAAGAAGGAAAATGTAAGAACATTCTTATAAGAATTATGATTATCGGACCAGAAAATGTAGGTAAAGCAACTTTACTCAAAGTGCTAATTAAGCAGTCACTATTGGCTAATGAAGCACCAACACAAGTAGCTAGTGGTAATCATCCGCTAATAGAATTGATTACATTCGATACTGGTGATATGGTGAAGACTGGATTGGGCACTCTCGCTGATAGTAAAGTTGGGTTAGCAGTTCTTCAATCACCATCTTTACAAGTTACAAGACAGACCTTATCCGATATGAAAGCGCAAAGAACGAATGTATTCGATAAATCACTTCGCAGCAAGTATAGCAAACTTAGACCGAAACTTTCTAAGATACAAGAGGCAAATACAGATAGTAATGAAAGTAAGAAATCACAGCAGTCAAAAATAGACAATCTACATACTGTATTGTGCGACTTCGGAGATCAGGCAGAATATCACGTTACACATCAACCATTTATGTCGTGTGATAGTATTTATGTTCTTGTATTTAATATCGCTGAAGAGATTAATGACGCTATACAACAAAGGAACAGCTTAAAATCAGATATGACCTACTTTGCAAGAATGCATGAATGGTTATCATCTGTACGTGGATGCAAGGGGTTACGCGATGGTTTAGGGAGTAATGCTAGAAATGAGATTACGATCGATGGTAAATATTTTGAATTGCCTATTGTCATTGTCATCGGTAGTCATGCAGATAAGATTGTAGCTAATAATGAAGAAGAAAAAAATAGAAAAATACAAGCAGCTTATAACAAGATATCACGTGAATTTGGCAGTAAGGCCTTTTCCAAACATCTATACTTATCACACTTAGCTATGAATGGTGATGGCAACGATAAAAGCGAAGCAACTCAACATCTAAGAGACGAGACACGTAAACAGTTATGTCAAATCTTTACTAAAATTGCAGAAAAATTACCATTTATAACGGATCCTATTCCAGTCCGATGGTATGAAATCATTCAAATACTTCGTGGAGAAAGAGAAGATAAAATAATAAAGAAGTTACTTACTAAAACACAAGTTAAAGACTTGATAGACAAACATCATCTATCTAAGCAAGGCGAGAAGTTAGATAGTTTATTATCTTACTTGCATAATATCGGACAAATTGTTTATTGCGATAAAGACGAAATTCTGAGTAATTGGGTCGTATCGGATATTGATTGGCTAATTGAGGTGTTTTGTTCATTAATTCGAATTTCATTTTTCAAGTCTTCTCATGCTGATGACTGGAGTGAATACGAGAAGATTCAGAATACAGGTAAAATAAGCGAAGAATACATTCGACAGGTTTGGAGCAAATTTAATTTAGATGATGAAGAAAGAAAATACGTATTGTCTCTTATGACTCACTACGATATTCTTTATGAAGCAAGTGAATTACAAGGAAAAGATCGTATCTATCTTATTCCTTGTCTTCTAAAGACACAACCTAAGAGTGATGCATTATATCCATCGAATAGCACCACATCGAAATACATCTATTTAGGGTTTGATGAGAAGGAGTTACCTTATATTTCTTATAATATCTTTTACTGCTTGATTTCTCAATGTTTGCAAAAGCGTGGATGGAATAATGGCAGAGTTAAACTATATCAAAACTGCGCTTCATTTCGAATTAGTCCTGGTATTAATTTGATTATCGATAAGTTGTCAACGGTCATCGGCTTACAATTAGTTTTTCGACACCCAAATTTACAATCTAAAGAAGTAAGAAGAAGGCTAACTAAAACAGCCGTTGAGCTCCATGTTAAGGATGCAATTGAATCAGCTTTAAGAATCGTTCTTACTAAATGGATGCCAAATATGAGTCATATACGAATAAAAGTGAGTGTTAAGTGTCCGCGCTGTGGAGAGTTAGTAAATATCGAAGATGGATTAAGTGATGATAAATCATTTCTGGATTGCCTTAATTGTGAACGTACCTGGAATTTCTCATACTACTTAAAGCCTTGGTTAGATAATATTCCAGGTGATACCACAAATACGGTGCGGTCTTTGGAATCTTTTGTAGCTGATTATTCCTTTATGAAATGTATCAGTATATAAGCTTAATTGGAACTCACATGAATAACCAATTTTATTGATCTATTAAACAGTAACAAATTGCTTTAATAATATTTCAACATTAATTTCTACTTCAATCGATAAGTTATCAATAATAGCGCTCATACATTTGAAACGATGTTGTCATAAATTTACTCACTGAAATAACTGTAATAACAATAGACAAAATATTCAGTAAAATTTTTTAAAAAGTATGTACTTTATTGTACGGCGGATCGAACTCATTGATTTATTAAATGAAATCTATAACCTTATGAATTGGTTTAATAATAATTCTTTATCTCTTGTATTTAGCAGTCGATGCTTCTAGCGATAACGGAGAGGACATTCCTATGTCGTTAACTGAGGAAGAGGGTGGTTAGTTTGGCAAAGTGTCCAATATATCTATTGGCTATGTTTGAGTTATTCTTTGAAAATTATAATCGTAGCTGCTATAACGCATATATGAATTTCTTATAATATTACAATGAGCGACAAAAAATTAATTTAAATATTTTTTGATTATTTGCTTCAGCATCAACAATACCAAAATTTAAGACCAGCGCAGTTGGAATGTTGGAAATACATAAACAAATCTTACGCAGCCACTACGTCAGAATTATTGAAGAATGTCAATCAAGCATCAAGCCTATTTGTAATCACTTATACAGTCGAGAAATTCTAACACCTTATCTAAAGGAAATCATTCTATGCCAGCCAAACGATTATGAGTAAGTCTGCAATACGATACGATGATATAGCTTAGTTGTAAAAATGTATGATGTGGATAATATAAACTGTGACAACTATTATCACAGAAAAATGGGAAAATTGTTGGATATTTTACCGGAATGTGGTAATCGAGCATTTGGTGCATTTTGTGAGGTTCTATCTACCATTAATTCGCAAGTGATAGAAATCTTAGAAAATGCGGAAAGGGAAAATGAAAAGGAACTAAAAGGAACCAAAAGGAAACTAAGTAACACGTAGATATATTTACTGTGTACGTGTTCCACCCACTGCATTTATACATAATTTTAAGTGCTCTATCGGTGCTGAATTACATGATTCACTTAACATGGTGTGGCATATCATTTTCTACTTCAATACGTTCGGTAGTATTATAGATTTTTCACATAGAATTCAATATTATTTTTTCAATACGATTTAAAGCAAAAATTTGCATCGTCTACTTCTCTGTTTAGCATCTAATGTTGTTCGTTTAACTTTATTACTTGCTTGCAAAGGATGAAAGCATTTAAATGGTAACCATAGCTTACAATTCACTCAGCCATCTTTCTTTGTGAATTTTACTCCTATTAGAATTACTTGGCATAATGATTACAACTTCGCACAGAATCATCACTATCATTAAGCTAATGCTTTATATCGGTAATTGTTATGCAATAACGGGAGAACGTTTATTTAGTAGTTTACTTACCAAGTGTATTTCTTTAAAAAATTTTAGATTGAATACATCCTATTTACATTAGATTATTACATCTTGAGAATACTATTTTAATATGCTAATGAAACAAAAATTGACCAAAACGATTTACCTATGAAGTAAATTAATTGGTGTTAGCATTTGACGTTGCGTTTTTATTTTTATTGTGAAATGGATATGCTTTAAATAATTTTATATGGCTCACAAGTGGTAAAATAGGGTAAGAGAGTTTGTTTCCTTAATTGAGCGGCGTTAAATTTTCAATGAATGGGCTTTATTCTATTGCTACTGTTATAGACGTAAGGCTAGGAGCGAATATCAGGTTCGCATTTTTAGTGTTTAAGATCATATCCGCATACTTAATTACTTAAAAACTTTTGCATTCTGCCCATCATGTGCTAAGGTGATATCATTTTAAAGGATATGATTAATATTCAAGATTTTACGATAACACGTAGTTCCATGACATCAATTTACTCCCTAGAAATATATAGCTATAACGTTTTAAAAAGTTTCATTGAAACTGAAGAATTATAGTAGAGTGTTCATTTTTAAATTAGAATTTAAGAGTGTCATTATCAACAAGATGATTTTCTAAATAAAGTCTAAGATTCAACCTTACAATAGTTTTATAATTCTAATGTGATAAAGTGGCCGAGAATAATGGGACAGGAAGTTTGATTTCTTGTTCATATCACTTTATTAATCAGTCCTTCTAGGTCCATAGCTAGCTGCCGAAACTTAATGTCATTGCATTATTAACTCTTGCAAAGTACCGATAGAAAATAGTGAAACAGTACCATGGCAATGACGAGACTTTTGATTACTATACTAATTGGCTGTATGAGTTGGTAGCCGATCGAGAGAATGAGAATTTAACTGTTTCTATGACAATTCAAGAGTAATAACAAAGTAATGAGTTCAAAAGTATTCTACAAGAGGAGAATAGAACATTTTGTAGCCTTTTACAGTTTAGAATGAGAGATACGATCATTTTTATTTATTTTATTTTGCTCATTCATGATAGACGATTACATGCATGCAACCAGATAATGAAAATCCAATCCCAAGGTTTGTTATTGTACTGTATGAGGTTCTAATTGCTAAAGTAACAGTGATAATAAAAAGTGTTTATTAACGAAATATTGAACTTATACACCATTGCCAATTGTACTATGAGTGGAAGCAAAGCTTTGAAAGAACAATTCGTGGGTGATGCTATTTACATCGACTACATCAACAACATTGAAGATGGCGATCAATACGATTGCAGCTTTATAACTAGAAGCGGCTATATTGACCTCAACGAAGTTGAGTTAATGACTGTGAACATCATTATCTACCAATGAATGATTTTACGATACCTGTGATGTATCGAAAAAGTTATCATGACGGTTAATCATTTACAGTATATCAGTTACTCTTTCTTTACGTTTACAACGCTCTTTTTCATGAATCGTTTCTGCTTTGACAGTTTAACTAAGTGAGGGCAAATAGCGGGTAAAACTTGGCCGATCACAGCACAGCTTTGCAAGGACAGTCTATTAATATACTGTAGTTCATGATTTTACCCTAAAAAATAAATTGTTACTGAAGGATATACGCGTATGCAAGATTGAAATGTTACCATGATACACTATTCCCTTCGCCCCTCAAGCATTAAGAAAATAAGATTGATCAATACACAGCACACTTTTTAATGCACTAATTTGTGTCTAAAACAATCCGAATACAGTAATCTGTTCAGTACCCAATGAATTTACCATGGTGTAAACAGTATGTGAAATAAATCTGTCTTATCCTACAGCATTAAAGAACATTGATCTGTGTATAGGACAACATGAGCGAAATACTAATATCCAATCAATTTATGATGGTGCAAATGGATGACGGAAAATAGATCAATTGTATCCTACAGGTGGGCTACAACATTAAAATTAGTTAATACTCAAAGTCTACAAGGAAACAAGAGATACATTAGGTATAAACTGGATTGATGATACTACAAACACATCTTTCTTAAGTACGGTAGTTTGTACGCTGCCGGATTCCATATAATAATTTAAAGTTTTGATGAATTTTCAGGATACAATTGAAGCCGAAACGTTGTGCTGTACGGCCACATAATGCATATCCAAAACGAACAATATCGATTTGAATTTTACTGTCGGTTAGTAGCGGACTCTGCAGAATTAATAATGAAATTTTAGGATGATTTTTACTGTATAAACAATTTTCTGCATTCTATTTTATCCAAAACCATATAGATTAAATATACTACTATAATACTAACGTAAATCTAATGCAATCCTCTTCTTAATACAAATTCTTTATCGTAGCTAAAAACTAGCGGTGCTCACGCATATTAAGGTTATCAGGCTATAGCTCCATCAAATAGTTTAATTATTACTTAGATTTAATTAATTTTCATCCTATTGCCTTAATGCTATTATTACGGCATAGCGTAATAGCCGCATACATTTAATCTCATAGAACGATTATTATGATTATCCCGCTAATTACAGGCATAGTTGAAATCATCTTTGCACTAGAACTTGTAAATTATAATTATACCGATAATTACTGTAACAATTTTTATAGAATGTCATCGACTCGTCGTAGTTGTTTAGTAATACTATAGTATCCAATAATATATAGGTAATGCATACTTCTGTGAAGGTGAAGAAAAAACTTAATTAACTCATTTGCATTCAAGTAGAAAAGAGAGAGCATGTACAAATACTGCTGATGATTGAAAACTACCATTTATCACCGCCGTACCCACGCATATCCCAAAGGTCGTTTCTGAATGCGTACAGTAAATTCTTCCATTTCAATTATTGAAATACTCTGAATGGTAAGAACTAATTCCGTTAGCTAACTTGTTCAAACAGCAAAATTATGGCTTCTAATACAAGTGGCAAAATTCAAACAACCTGCGAAACGAATAGCCTATGGGAGAATAATGCTTTATATGATTCGGATCATAGCGAAATGAGCGATATCGATCTCAACTCACAGTATGTTGATATCTAGCATGAAAAAGAAGTCTATAACTACGGTTTACTCGACGATATGGCAGTAACAGATGTCGAAGGCAACGATGAAAACAATTTTTATACTCCACGTGTGGAGCATACGTCGCCACTGCAATTTCTAGACTATACTAATATTTGGCAGCCGGCTAAAAATGCTCGACCAATGCCGCATAGTTTCAGAGGTGATCACGGCTTAACCGTAGATACTGCTGGCTTCCATCCTCGAGATTACTTTAGACTATTTGTTACCGAAGATTTACTAACCTATTTTGTAGCAGAAACAAACTTATTTGCTCTACAGTATCTGCGCGATTATCCAAAAACATACAAGTTTGCTAAACTTCCGAGCTGGATACCCACTACCGTAGCTGAAATGAAAAGTTTCTTGGCTTGTTATTGCTGATGGGTATCATTCGAAAGCTATATATTAGCCATTGCTGGTTTACTGAATGATTTATATGATACACCAATCTTTCGATCGGTTATGACTTGTCATCGTTTTCAATTGCTTTTAAAATTTTTCCACCTGCACGATAACGATAACATGTCAGACAAGACTGACCCTAATCATGATCGCCTGTATAAAGTAAGACTACTAATAGATCATCTATTGGAATATTTTCAAGCAGTTTATGTCGTGAAACAGAATTTGGCAATCGATGAATCTTTTCTTGTCTGGAAAAAAGGCTCTAACTTCAAGATTTTCGCTTTAAACGTACCCGCTTCGGAATCAAACTAATTCGCCTTTGCGAATGCAGTACTGGATACACTTTTCGATTTAAGTTATACGTCAATGATAAAGATCCAACTGAGTGCTTAAAGCAGATACTACCTATTCATTCTTAGAACTTTAATAAAGCTGAAAAGCTGGCAACATTTCTGTTGCTACCTCTATTAGACCAGGGCTACAATATTTACATAGACAATAATCGATTATCGCTCGATTTATGCTCATTTCTGCACCGACGTAAAACCAATGCTTGTGGCATGCTAAATTCCAGCAAAATACCTGAAATAATTCGCGGTGTAAGCACTGCATTTAAATCAACTTCTGCCTATCGATCAGGCTCTATTCTTTGCTTAAAACAAATGAATAAAATACCTCTTTATATGCTAACCAGCATTCGTGATTAGTAGATAGCTGAAGAACTTAAAGAAAGTGACGAAGCGTATGGTCAATATCGTCAAGGAAGGCCTTCGGCGATGCTTTGCTAAATGAAAAATATGAGGAATATAGACAAGCAAGATCAGGTAAGTGAGCATTCTTACGCATCATAGAATGCTAGTAATTATCATCTAGGTCTTAATGTAAAACATTTAATACATCTTACCCACTGTCTATAGTAAAATCTTAATCAATTATCCTATTTATGCGTGTTCCAGTCTAGTTTTGAATATATTAGATTTAAGATCCAGAAGTATGAATTGTAATATACTTAATTCAAGTCTGAATACAACGACAACAGTTAATTTTAATATAAAATTTGTTTAAAACTCTACTGAGACCCTAGATAAACTCGCAAATGAGCATGTTACAAGAGTACAAGCAGAGCTTTAGAAAATTTATAGTAAATCTTTAACTGAAACATACTTGAAATAGCCTTTGATACCGCTTATCCATTGCAATATTTTCTCTTATACTTTAGAAATACCCGGCATTTTTATCATCTACTTTAAATTTCAAATAATTCTGGGAAAGTTAAGGGTACCTCAAGAGTTATATAAGGAATTGTGATGGACGGTTCGAAGAGTCAGATAATGTGGTTTTAGTTGCCATGCAGAGAATTGCACAAGGAGCTTAACAGGGAAATTGTCCAGTGGATCTTCACTTATCATCAACAGTAGTATTAATAGCAATGCAATCAATTTCGGACGACTCGACGTAGTTATTGGAAGGAGCGAAATAGTACCATTAAGTAGCAATTTACTATAAACGATGCTCATGTCATTGGCCAACATGCTGGATATGCAGGAGCTGTTAGCAAATTTGATGGTAGTATTTTTGGAAAAGATAAAGTTAAATACGCTTTGGCTTATATGAAATGTACTGGTTTTGAAAGATCTCTTTCCCAATGTTCGGGATACAATTCTAATGTTACGAGCTGTAATAACAGCTATGCAGGAGTAATTTGCTAGAGTAAGCAATATTCTATATCTTTTACGGGATATTTTAATGACGGTAGATCATGTTATAAGAAGTTGAAAATGCCATAGTTTTTAATCATACATTATCTATATCCATCAGTGTATATCATACCGAAACACAAAAGATACCGTTTATTGTAAAAGTGTCTCTGTTACTAATAATTACCATCCCAATTAATTGGTATCTTATAATTTTAATTTTATCATTTTATAAACAGCCAATAAGCCTTGCACATCAAATCCTTGCCAAAATGGTGGCTCCTATATAAATATATTTTTTGGATTTCAATGTAAATGCGGTATTAATTACTTTGGAAGAAAATGTGTTAGTGGTAAGTTAATTTCATTTGTATAAGCTACCATTCGGCACGATGACAACGCTATACTATTCCTTTTATTAATTAATTAATTTTATGCTATCAATCTATATGTTTTGCATCATCATTTATGTTGATACTGCCGAAAATTCGCTAAAAATTTATAGCGAAACTACTTCCTGAAAAGAATAGATAATCCTCAGTACCGTACTCAATTTCGAATTATATTGCTATAGCAGTTTCAAAAGCTTCTGGGTCCATAAGACTTGTCGGACAGTTGGAAAATAGTATGCAAGGGCTCTAACCCTAACCCTTAACATAGCTTACGTTGCTATTCTATTCAAAATAAAGTCATCAAACCTTTCTTAAAATTCCAACTCTGATCAAAATTTTGACCTAAAAGTACAGGTTTGAAGTAATTTTTAACCAGTTACAGCTTCTCTAATATAGTTAACATTCATGTTAAAAGAATCTAGACGCAAAATTACTGTCAGCGTTAATGTAATCAGTCATGTAGGCTTCTAACTTTTAAATTACATACGTATAATTGCTACAACGCAAATTTGGTCCTCTATAAAATATTTTAGCATTTTCGTGGAGAAACAGTTTTGCTAACAGCCCAATGGAAATTGGAATACTGGCATAGAAAGCTAATCAACAAGTACGGATGCTATCTCCACGACGATTTAAACTCCCATCATTATCATCAAATACAGAACCACGGCTGCATCTTTGCTGATATAAAAAGTCGCTCTAAATGGTGATTTACCTTTACAGAAGTTCGTATCTACCGGTTAATGATTTATTACTCTTCAGAGTTACTTTATGAGTGTTTGATACGAGTGTACAAGATACTATTCTTGTAAATGATGGGATCAAGCTACAGCTTAAATTTTTGGCATCATCTATATGTACCCGTAATAGTTCTTATAACATAAATTTATGATATTTAGAAAAATACATTCCATTAGCCATAGTGAAAGTCGATATAGGGTTTGATTTCTATGTTGATCATTAGACAGTAATTACTGTATTGCAAACTAAAAAAGTAGTTTTGCAGTTATCGAGAGGTTAGTATTTAATTTTAAAGTTTGAACTTACAAAACAATAAAACTAAATTTTTATACTGAACTTATTTTTTTGCTTTTATTGGCTGCAGGACGATTTATTTAGTAACAATATTAGAAAGGTAGTTCGTGATGAGGACAATATTTTGGACTTCTCCATTATACAATCGAGAAATAGGGTAATCGATCAAAAGCTAATCTTCACTACCAAACGGAAAGCAAGCATTCAATGTTATCATGATAAATAGTTATAATACCTATTTGTAATACAAACTGTAGCCTTAATGATATCCTAAGGTCATAGCATAAACGATAAATTAATTCTAGTTAAGAAACGCTTTCATAAGTTAATGTTAGTATTACAAATGAATTGTCAGGTTTACCCATCTTGACCGAACCAGAGACTGTATTCTTCTACATGTTGGATAACCTTCTCAATGAGTTCCTGTCTTAGCTATGGAAAGTCTTGGAGAAACATTGCATTGAGGATGTCGTTCAACTGCAATGAATATCGCATTCTCCATTTTCAAAGTCAATTATGAACCATTCTCCAAATGTTATTTTTATATCTAGTAACGGAAGTTGTAAATATATTTTGCTTTGGGTCTTGCAGAAAATCCTTTCCGATACATTGATATTCTAGGTTGGATAAATTCATCTTGTCAACATAAATAGTTATTGTTATTCAAACCAATAAAATAAATACAAAATAACAACCAGATCTAACAGCAGATTAACAAGAAGATGATGTGTTATTTACATGACTACGGGCCCCTTTTGTTGTTGAACATATTAAGTTGACATTAATTTGCTGCGGAAGTAAATACTAGACTAATTACTGGTTATGATAGATTAGAGGGATTGTTGTTAGCCAATACCAGGTAGGCTATTATCATAATTTGTTTTTTAACATGGATATTATGTTTATCGTTGGCTGTCCTAATTGTTATTTATTTCAGCTCAGCAAATAAAGTGATAGATAGAATTGTCTCCAAGTGGAAATAACGTCATATGATGATACTGTAAGCGTAAGAAATAGAAGATTGAATTAAAAATGTCAAGGTATGAAAGTTTATAAACGCTTGATGCCCCAATGCTATTACCTATTACCCTCCTTATTAGATTAATCACGGCAGTGGCATGGAATGATGATGATGAATGGAGCGATTTGTAGTAGTCTTTGAGGTATACACTTGCATAATATGTGATGTAAGTAACTAAATTACCTTTTAATGAATTGTATAATGATATTGTTCCTACTTTGATGATGTTGATGTCGATGACAAAATTAGATACTGTTTTATTCACATCAAGCCATGAAAACCTTTATTAAAATATAATCAGATTGATCCTATGCAGAAGTCAATAGAATGAATAAACTAGTCCCCAACTGATTGACAGGGTTACAAGAAGTAGATTTCTAAGAATTATGTTTTTGCTTTTTCTACGGTATGCATTCTACCTAAGCAAGTATGTCGGAAATATCCTTATTGAAGATTATATCTGTTGGATTAGAAGTATATCTACAGCTAATACAATACTAGTAAGTCATGTAACTTACGAAGACAACAATGTTCTGTCTCAATCCTTGTGAAATAGAAAATTAAAAATACTGTCTATCAAGGCAGAAATTTCTACTATGGATCGAATATTTGGGTCCCAAACTCGCCACGCTTGCTTTCTATTTGCAATGCAGAGATAAAAATAAATAAACTAAAACCCGACTGTCGACAGTAAAGTAGACTCATAGCTAGCCATCTTGTTTGCCCTTATTTTTTTCTTAGGTAAGTCTGAAATTATACGTAGATAACTTTTCTATTTCTATGGCATAATTCTCTATTAATTAATTAATATTCTGGGGTGTGCATTCTACCTAAGGAAGTGTACCGGAAATATCTATATTTCTTGGACAATACACATTCTATTAACTGAATACCAATTAATAATGTTGCCTACAAAGACAACATCATCATTCTATTCTAACCTTTATGAAATAGTAAATTAAATACTGTCTATCAAGGCAGAAATTTCCATTATAGTTTGAATATTTAGATCCAAAACCCGCCACGCTTGATTTCTATTTACAATTCAATATAGAAACATATAATATATTGACTGTTGAGATCCATTTTAGAAACTAAAAGCCGGCTGTATAGAGTAAGATAGCTTAAACTTGTATCGGGCCATCCGGTTGATATGGCTATGATTCTTTCTCAGAAAGTGTAAAATTATACGTAGATGACCTTTCTATTTCTATAGTATGATTTTGATTCTTTTTTTTAACATAGCAATCTTCTGCGGTGTGCATTCTACCTAAGCAAGTATAGCAGAAATATCCTTACTGAAGTCCATATTTCTTAGATTATACGCATGCAATAAGATACCAATTAGTATTGTTGCCTACGTAGACAGTTTCTTTCTATCCTAGTGAAATAGAAAATTAATATGCCGTCTATCTAGGCACTAATTTCCATATGGATCCAATATTTGAATCCAAACTGCCGCACTCGTGTTCTATTTACAATTCAATATAGAAACATAAATCATGTGGACTTATAAAGCTGAGTTTACAAACTGAAATCCGACTGTAAAGAGCCAAGTAAGGTTATCCAAATCGTATCATAAGAGTTTTCCGATCATAATAATCAAGGACTACTCCAATCAATCTTCACATTGACTCTCCACTCCAATTTTTGCTCTTTACAATAAAAAATGGACACATTGATCATCTGAAAGATACGAGTAAAGGATAATTAGGAAAATTTTAATGGAGAGAGAGTGGAAAAATTGGAGTTGAGCGCCGGATCGTGTTTAAACATTTTGGATTGATGGAAGAATGGCAAGAAATGGATGATATTCCTTGTCATGAAGCAATTGACTATAGAAATAGCCTTTTCGCATCGAGTATCTCTCTCATAATCAGGCATTGCTATCTTTTATATAGTATACCAGTAATAATACTCTTACTCCATCTTGACAGGATCTACTTCTGCGATTGAAATTAACAGCAGGTAAAACTGAGTATGTTCTCCATTGTACAAGAAAGAAAACTGCCTCCTATTGAAAAGTGCAAGCTAACGTAGAAGTAGAAGAAAGTACTAATCAACAAAAGGAAAATTAGTATTTGCCATGCAATATCCACACGGCTGCCGTCATCCACTGCTTTCTTGGACAAGGTATATGATTCATACAGTATTACTCCATGCTAACAGAACCTAGTGCTATCATTGAAATCAGCAGCAAGTAAAACTGAAGATGCTCTCGGTTGTGCAAGAGTAAAGACCCTGTGATGCTGAAAAGTGCAGACTAGATAGGAGAATGGCGAGTGGTCCATGATACTGCGTCCATGCCAAAAATCAATGGTTCAACTCCTACTACTCCTTACTGACAGGATCGACGTACTTTTACCATTGAAAATCAACAGCAAGTAAAGAGGAAGCTATCGTCCGCCATACAAGAGTAGAGATAGAGTTATACTGCGTTAGCAAAAGAAAAAAAAAGTAGTAAATCATCGATGGATCCATGCCAAAGAGATTCATAAGCTACCGGTATAAAATTCAATTTACTGGATGATAGAATAGAGGCTGAACAATCAATGGAGTCTACAAGATGATCCTACTCCATGGAATCTTGTTGTTTCTATTGGAAAGAGTAGACTAGCGGCAAACATCAAGAATAGCTAAAGTGAATAAGTAGCTTTATTTACATAACAGTAGAATGGCTTGTCTACTCCTACCTTTTGATGAAAAGATGGATTGTATATAGAATTCCTCTACTCTATAAGTCCTGCAATGGTAGCAATGTTATCCAATACAATTGGAGATGATTATGTCTCCATGTTAATTAACTTGCCTCTTCTACTCAATTGTTATCCACCATCCTATACTAGAGTAAGTAGCGATTATGTAATCGGCCATGCCACCTCGCAGAGTAGAATATCAACACTTTCCACTATAGAGAATCACTCCTTCTCAAGTGTAAAGTGTAAAAGATTGCCTTAAACTTACTCCATTCTACTAGTCAAATCGACTGGAATCAGCGCCTCGATAGGTCCATTATTGACGGGCTAATAGCACTAACGAGTGATTAAGCCGTTGAACGATTCCGTTATCCTTCAATCTTGTAATCTAATTAGTGGCAAGCAGTTGCATCGACTTGTCCTTACTTTCTATTCTATAATTCTTGATTTTAATCTGCCATCTCTGATTCTCGGAAGATAGTTTTCTCCTTCAAGTAG